TAGTTGATGCGGATAAAAAGTGTGTTAGGGTTTTGGGATCAGTGATTGTTTGTGGAAAATTGGAATTGTTGGCTGCAATGGACGTTGAAATCGAACAACTTGCTTCTCAAGATTCTGACAAACTTAAACACAATAAGGTAATTCGAATTTCTTATGAATTTTCGATTTTGTTTACCTTTTTGAGTGATTATTCTTAAATTGGGTTTGCTTTGCTTTGAGTTTGATCGCTTTGGATTTGGATTTTTGCTTGGGTCGTTATTGGTGGGTTGATCATAATATTCTGTTATGTTTTTGTGTATAATTGATCGTTTGTTGCCCTTAAAGCTTCAAGATTTATTACTTGAATCATGCGGTTAGATATGTTTTGTTAGTGTTAAAGTATGGTATTACAAGAATTTTAATTGTGGGGCTGTTGAATTAGCCATTGTAGAATGAGGTAACTTTTGAATAAATTTGAGAATCCTTAAAAGAAGTTTTAATATTGTTGGGAATTTGATTCACTGAAAACAGCCTATCTACCTCCACAAGATAGGGGTAAGGTCTGCTTACACATTACTCTCCCTAGACTGTGGGTATGCTGTCGTTGTTGTTGGGAATTTGATTCACCGATAGAGCAAAGTGGGTCTTGGGGATTCAAAACAAAAAAAGAAGAAGAAATCTTGAAATTATACATGCAGCGGTTGGTTCTAGTTTCATAATTTTACTGTACTTGAGTAGCATACAGTACTGTAATTTCCAGCATGCCTATATTAGTTTATCACTTGAATATTGAATCTGCTTTTTTCCCTTTGCTTATGTTTTTAGTTTGTTTCACTTACAGGAGGCTATGACTAAGGATAATTCCCAAACGGTAGCTGGGTCCGCATCCGTATCTCTTGACTCTGGCAATAACAACAGTTCCAATTCAGACTTCTCATTTCATGAAGATCAGAATGATGGAGATGATGGCATGGATGATGACGATGATGTGTCAAACTATGATGACGACGATGATGATAATGGCTATATGTTTTATGACAATGATGACGATGATGAGTGTGATTACTTGAGTATGCAGGCACAATTTGATAATGTTGATTTGCCCGCTGGTGTAGAGGCCACAGTTTCTTGGTTGAATGAACCTGCTCCCAGTTCAAAAGCGCCTTCCCAAGTTAGCTCTTCTAGTCATCTAGTAGGCGCTGGGACAGTGAAACCCACACTTCCGGAGCATGGAAGTAGTAGTAACTTTGCTCAGGTCCCTGCTTCAAGCAGTTCTCTAGTGTCTGTAGAGTCAAGTTCTCGTGGAAAGGAAGAGGCAGCTGAAGAAGAAGCCATGAAAAAGTATCAAAGTTTTAAGCATTTTGATGTGGTAGATGACTTCTCAGATCATCATTACAGTAGCTTGGGCTTCCAGGGGCAACAGGTAACTTGTAAGGGAATTTCGTTTGCTTTGCAGATCATCTTATGGCATTTTAGTTGGTCGTTTTATTCGACTATGCTAACCTCCGCTGTTACCTTTTTAACAGCCACCTAAGGCCTGGAGTAAGAAAGTTCAGGATGAGTGGAAGATATTGGAAAATGATTTACCCGGTGAGTCAGTTGCTGCTATTTAGTGATACATACATTTGTGTCTGTTGTTTTTGTAATGTTTTAAAATTTTTGTTGGTAAATGCCTCTATGTTGGTTTCCTGCTGAAGAACTTTTGAAAGGGGTATTTTGCTGTCTGTCTGACATTCTTAAACTTAAATCATTTACGTGATGTGAATCCTCATGATGGTAAATGCATCAATTGGCTCGTGTGATGTGTAATTCCTGAAAAGATATGTGTGATTCCTAATGGACATGGTTCGCAATTTATATTTTGACACATTGATTTTCATAAGTAAATATAAACGAATCTATCCTTGCTATAGCTAAAAGTAAATATAAACAAATCTATCCTTGCTGTAGCTATCCTTTGCTTTTCCCACTGTCATTCCCCTTTCTCAACATCCTTATCTGCTGCTAAATTTACGACTCTATCCTCTTTGTGGTATGCTGCACTATCAGTCTTATCTGGAATAAGAGAATTTTTTTGTGAATTGACTTTGTGGGATGTCCTGTCGTTGGTAGATTGCTGTAATTCTATCTGACCATTTGAGGATTTATGTTGAACTTATTTCGATCTCTCATATTCAGATACAATATATGTAAGGGTCTATGAATCTAGGATGGATCTCCTTAGGGCTGTCATTATTGGACCACAAGGCACTCCATACCATGATGGTCACTTTGTCTTTGATGTCCTGTTCCCACAAAACTATCCTGATGTGCCACCGGTATGAATTTGATTTTGTAGCATGAAAATGTTAAGATATTTGTTTCTAATTTACCTTATAAAAAATGTTAAGATATTTGTTTCTAATTTATTTTTTATTTACTTATTTTCCCTTTTCATTAGATGGTTTACTACTATTCTGGTGGTTTGAGACTGAATCCGAACTTGTATGATTGTGGAAAAGTCTGTCTCAGTCTTCTGAACACTTGGACTGGTAAAGGTAATGAAAGGTGGCTGCCCAAGACATCGACCATGCTGCAAGTCCTGGTTTCTATACAAGCTCTAATTTTGAATTCAAGGCCTTTCTTTAATGAGCCTGGATATGAAGCCTCATATCCTGGACCTGACGGAGAGAGGAGATCTAAAGCTTACAATGAAGATGTTTTTGTTCTATCTTTGAAAACAATGACATATACATTGCGAAGGCCCCCAAAGGTATGATCATGGACCGTTGTTTGTCATACTTCTTCTTCCTTCAGTTATTCTGTCAAAAGTAACATCCAGTTGGAGTACCTCTGTAGGCAAATAATGTCTTTTACCTTTCAATTTTCTGGATCTGCTAGGATTTCGATTACTTATTAATATAATGCTGTCCTTTTCATTAAATGGTGTTATGTTTGATCTGACCGCAGTACTGGTAACATAGGTTTATCTGGGAAAATGGGGATGGGTAAAATGTAGAACCTAGTTCATCCCTGAATCAGTTTTCATCTCATGTTGTTTGGTGTTTTGGAAATTTTCTACTTGCATATTGGCTTTGCATAGACTATCAGGGGAAATTTAGAAAGAAGGGAAGATCAGGTTCACAGTGTCCGGTATGTATGAGTTAACATATATTTTCATTTGTCTTGAGTAAGCTCTGCGGTTGGCATCTTAAATACAAGTGATTTATCAAATGGATTTGAAAGTTGAAACTTTTTCTGCTCAGGTTCCTCAGGTTTGGGAACTGAGTCCAGATATTATCTGGTTTCGGAACGAGGTTGGATGTGGTGGCATAATTTCTTTTGATTACCCAATTGTCTATTTTCCATGGGAAAAGCTCTAAAGTTGAAAATAATACTTATTCTACTCTTATTCATTTGTATTCGAACAGATATCACTTGCTTATTTTAACGGACAGCCAAAACTTTTAATCAGTAAACTAGTTTTTTTCAACTGGTTTTTTAGTGGGTATATACATTCGTGCAAGAATGAATTTCTTCTTACCATGCAACTCAGAATGAGATAGAGGAAGATTGTTTCTTTTTGGGGGGGAGGTGGGGAGAGGGTGGAGGAGAGATTATCTGAGCAGACTTTCTTGTTTAGTTATATTTTAGCTTCCATAATTGCAAAGTGAAAACAGCTAAAATAGAAGGAGAGATTATGTTATTTAAATATGAGGTAGTATTTTGTTGGTTGTCTGGTAAAGTATGCTTCTGTCTATGACTCAACACTTTCAACATAGATGTAGATGCATCTATAGTGTAGAATAGGTTTGTGCACCTGGGATAGAAAGGGGTCGACTTTTGGAGGGTAGGGTAAATGAAAAATGGAGCTTTGTTTTATTCTTAAAGGGTGGTGTATGTAGTTGTAAACATTGCCAAGTACTTGGGAAGTGAACTTTAAGTAGACATCTTCTTCAGGTTAACTTGTGAGGTAGCTTCAAGAAAATTCTAAGTATACATCTTTTTCTTGAGGTTATTTGTGGGGTAGCATTCTTCCTTATGACATATCAATATAATCTGGCATGCTCTTATTCTTTTATTTCGTGCAGCATTTTGAAGACCTTGTCATTGGTCACTTCCGTTGCTACGCTGTAGACATTCTCTCAGCATGCAAGGCATATGTGGAAGGAGCTCCAGTTGGTTCTGTGATCAAGGGAAAAGTCCAGGGTAATGCAACTGAAGACAGGAGCTCGCCGATATTCAGGGAATCAGTATCCAGAATGATGAATGGTCTTATATCCCTTTTCACTAAGAATGGTGCGAAGGATTGTGACCGGTTTCGTGTCTAAGCCTACAGGATTACCCATCAGATCCTATAAAATGAAAATCACAAGATTCCTGAATGGTCCATTTTCGACTCTTTGAGCACCTCTTTTACCTTGCTTTTGGTGCCATTCACAATTTCTTGTACATAGAAACTCTAATTTTGAATGTAGATAAAACTGGATACTTTAGGACTGAGGTATTCTAGTGGTACATAGTTCTTCCATTCCCTGGTTTATGTGATAAAATCTGTCACCAGATAAGTATGGTAATATTTCAGAGAGCATAGCTCGCTATTTCTTTTGGAATGCTTGAGAAATGGCAGGCAATAACTTTTGCCGTTTCTGGTGGTGGCAATGGTAGCGATAGGTATAAGAGGCATGCTTACATATATTTCAGTTTTGCAATGTAGGACACAACTCAAATTCGATAAATTAAAATAGAGAATATATTATGAGCTTTATGACCAACTCAATGATTGAGATTTCCCATGGGGGCATGTTAATGGAATGATGAATTTGAGGGCAAAGATTAAAGACTCATTTTTGTTGCACCTCTGACGTCGACAGGATCCATTTTTTTTTTAATTAAAAGGATTTTATTTACCAAGTATAGATATTTACAAGACTTACAATCTGCATCTACGACTTTAAAAACATAACTACTACTGGACATGAAATCCCAGCTAGGAGTTACCTACAGCCGTTACTACTAACCCTCTATTGCAACTATTTCTTCTAGCCTACATCAGGGTACCTGTTTAGTTTAGACATGGTCCTTTCTAATAGGGGAAATATGGTGGCCCTGACATGTCGTATAGCATTGGTTGATCTCCTCTTCTTCTGAAATATCACATCATTTCTTTCTTGCCAAATGTGGTAAATTGTAGCTGCTAGGGTCATTCTGCATACTGCTGCACCTCCACTCTTTCCTTTGCCAAACTGTTCCAGCCATGTTTTCTTTGTTCTCTGTATACCTTGCCACTTTAGTAGCTGCTGCCATATAGAACCTGATATCTCGCAACCAAAGAATAGATGCTGCACTGTTTCATTCTCTCTTTGGCATAAGCATGTTTGCTCTGAAATGATCCCCCATCTTGCTCGTCTTTCCTTTGTAGCAAGCCTTTGTTGTAATGCCAGCCTTAATATGAATATCCACTTGGGTAATCCCTGATTGTTGCGTACTAATTTCCTCCATGTCATCTTTGGAAACTCTCATGGCATAGCTTTGTATATATGTTTAATAAAGAATTTCTCCATCTTCTGAACATCCTCCTCTGTAAATCCAGCAGCCTCGAAATACGCTTTGAATATCTTTTGGATGACCCATGATGCACTCTTAGGCTTTGTATTCCAGACTGTGTTTCCTTTTAGGTAGTATGAATGTATCCATTGCACCCACAGTTTCTCCTTTCTTGTGCAGATATTCCATAATAGTTTGCAAATGGCTGCTTTGTTCCGCATCTCCATATTGAGGTTCAGGCCCCCTGCTACCTTTAGTGTGCACAATTTTTCCCAGGCAATCAAAGCTTTCTTGGTAGGTTCAGCAGCTCCTGTCCATAAAAATCTCCTACAGATTGATTCTATGAATTGGATAATTTTCTTTGGCAAGATGAATGTCTAAGCTCAGAATGTTTGTATAGTAAATAGCACACTCTTAACTAACATTTCTCTCCCTGCATATGAGTGATATTTTGTTATCCAGCTCTGAATCCTGCTTAACATTCCCTCAATTAGGGGCTTACATTGGATAGCATATAATCTCTTAGTACTCAGTGGAACACCCATGTATCTAAAGGGTAGTTCAGCTTTAGTGTAGCCTAGAATGTCCATGATTTGCTGTTGAAGCATGTTACTCTCTCCACCAAGTAAATGCAACTTTTGTTTGGATTTGTAATTAGACCTGAGGCTGCTGAAAATATTTGAAAATGCTGGTGTAGTACCATAACTGATTGCATATCTCCTCTACAGAATAAGAGTAGATCATCCGCAAATCCCAACTGAACTAGATTGACTCTGGCACACTTTGGATGGAATTTAAACTGCTTGTTATCCTTCAGTGTCTTCAATGATCTACTTAGGTATTCCATAGCTAGTACACATAAGAATAAGGATAGTGGATTCCCCTGCTTCAACCCTTTTCGTGCCTCAAATGGTACAACAGACTTACCATTGATTATCATAGAGTAGGAGACTGTGCTTATACATGCCATTATCCATTTCACAAACACTTCAGGGAAACCCAACAGCTTCATCACTTGTTCAACATACACCCATTCCACAGAATTATAGGCCTTCTGCATATCTATTTTGAGCATACATCTCGGGGAGATGTTCTCTTCCCATAGCCTTTGACCAACTCATGGATCATGATGATATTATCAGTAATCTGTCTTCCTGGTACAAAAGCTGTTTGACAATTATCAATTAATTCTGCCATCACATCATGAAGTCTTGCTGTAAGAACTTTAGATATTATCTTATAAAGCACTGTGCAACAGAAAATTGGCCTGAACTCCTTGATGTTGGTTGGATTCCTAACCTTTGGTATCAAGGTGCTGGTGGTGCAATTGATGGCTTTACACATATCAGCAGTTTCAAAGAATCCTTTTACTGCTGCAGTAACTTCATCACCCAAGATATGCCATGTCTTTTTGAAGAAGAAAGAGTTATAACCATCACACCGTGGGACTCTATTGTCATCAATATCCACTAAAGCATGTTTCACTTCCTCATTGGTAACTGGTTTATAAGTCTCAGTTGTTGCCTCCTATTTAAAGTATATCCATTCTGCATATATCTGGATTGACTACTGGCAATTGGGTTGCAGCAGTACCAAGTAGTCCTTTATAGAAGCTCAGTATTTCTTCCTCCACTTCAGTTGTACTTCAATAGTTAGCCTTCCAATATTATTCCTAGCTTGCCTATTTTTCATGCAAGCATGGAAATATGCTGTATTAGAATCCCCAAGTTTAAGCCATTGAACTCTTGACTTCTGTTTCAATACTCTCCTCCACCATCAGCCACTTCTCCAATTCTAGCTTTGCAGTTTTTTCAAGAGTTATTGTCTCATGATCTTGGCCTGGGATAGCCATCTGGGCTTGTATGCTCCCTAATTTGTCCCTTGCTGCTTGTATTTTACCCCCATGCCACTGAATTCTTGTTTGTTTAGTTGCTTTAACGCTCTTTTCAGTGCTTTGAGCTTGTTCCACACACTGAGCATGGCAGGTCCCCTTTTACTAGTTTCCCAGCTTTGCCTTACAGTTGCATCAAATTCACTAAGGCTTGCTAGGCAGTTGAGAAATTTGAAAGGTCTCATGCCTGCTTAGTTTATACTATCAAACCCCACACTCAAAAGACAGTGATCAGAGAAACCAAGATTCATAATTACTCCCTTCATGTAAGGCCACTTCTGAATCCATTCTGCATTTACCATGATCCTGTCAATTCTACTATGGACATGGCTGTTAGTCCATGTGTACTGCCTTCCCACAATTTTTAATTCATCTGGTCCTGTATCAGTTAAGAAGCTCTTAAAATCCCTTACCTCTATCTCCTGAACAGGGTTACCATTTATCCTATCCTCACTAGTCATAATAGTATTAAAGTCACCCATTATTAGGCTAGGGCTATTGATTCCCTGCATAGTCTCCTTTAGGTCCTTCCATAAGTTTTTCCTGTCTTGAATAGTGTGTTTACCATAGACTGCACAATAGTTAAAGTTGATTCTATGCTGAATCATAGTGACATTTCCCATTATAAATTGCTCATGATCACAGAGTAATCCACCTGAGCTGGATCCCATACTACCCATATTCTTCCTCCTGGAGCTTCATCATAGTTATCAGCCCATTGCCAATTACTAAATAGCTTCTTCAAAATTGAGTCTGCATTACTCTTCTTTACTCTATTCTCTATAATGGCCACCAATACCACTTTATTCTCTATGCAAAATTTTTTTAGTTCTTTTTGCTTGTAGATTTTATTCATCCCCCTAACATTCCATGCTATAATATTCATCATGATATGGCTATTTGTCGTGAACCTCCTCCTCTATCATTCCTAATCTGCTGCTTTCTTGCACCCTGGGCTTCAGATAGTTGCACTATCTTCTGCGCTATATCAACTAGTGCTTTGAAAGCATTGCCAATATCCACTTCATTCTCCTTTATAGGTCCTATATTCTTCTTAGTTGCAGATTTTCCTTGAGCAAGTTACCATTGTGTTTCAATTTCCTACTGGTTTAGTTGTTCAGTTTCCTGTTGACTCCAGTTAATCAAGGAACCTGCCTCTAGCATCAATTTTGTCTACAGTAGGGCCAAACACTCTCACTACTCTCCATTCCTGCTTTTGCTTCACTTCCATGCCTTTCTGTAGCCCTTCTTTCGGCTTCTGCTTTTTTTGATCCCTACACGAGTGGCCTAATTGACAGCAGGTCTGGCAATACTGTGGTTACCAATCAAATTGCACCATCTGTTCGATCACCTCGCTTCTAGGATCATGCAATTTGGTTTTCTCCGGTAGTGGCCAAGTGACATCCATTTCAATCAAGATCCTTGCATAAGAAACTCTCTCAGCCACTGTAGTACAAGCGTCATCATACAATAGCTTGTCCAAACCACTCCAATTTTGCTTAAGGCCTGTTCGCTCCAGTAATTGAGTGGTAGCTTGGGGAGCTTGACCATAGGGGAATGGTTTTCAACACTTCTTCATTGAAATCAAAGTTTTCCGACCATGGCCTAATTATAATTGGCCTACTATTGATGGTATAAGGACCATTCAGCAACACATCCTCCCTCTCTTCACTACTATTCATCAAAATTATGAAATACCCGTCGTTATGGAAGATTACCTTAGGTTTTTGAACATTTATCCACTGGCTAGCAATGAATCTTTCAATAGCCCCAATAGTTGGTGTATTACCCACCACATAGAGAATAATTGCTCGATTCCACTTTTGGTTCTCTGCTTCAATATCCTCTTCTAGCAATTGCACTGCTACTTTCCCGTCCTTTATCACTAGGGGATGTAGGTTAGATTCATGACTTCTGCTGCCAATTTGTTCTCTTGGAACAGCCCTGCCCATGATCTTCCCGTCTCTACAGTCTGCTCTGCATTTTTTGCCTGATTTTTCTTCTGGTTATCAGTCTCTGCACACCTCTGTTCCTTTGGTGGACTTGCATGTACTGTTCCATTGGTCTTAGCCTTGCTCGAGCTTGGTTGGTCAAACGTAATCGGCACTATAACAGGTTCTTTCACTCCAGTGTTCACCACAGGTGTCGATTGCCCGAGCTCACCGGTGTTACCAGCTTAGTTCGAGCACTGCCCAGATCTGGCCAATTTGGGTCACTGGCTTGTTCCTGGTCTTCCTCTTGCATTTTCTCTTTAGCTTTAGCAATTTGTTTCCCTTGCTCGCGCATGATAATATCCGTTAATTTCCTTTCTACCACTGGTGTTTTACTAGTGTTCTTCTTCGCTCTTCCTCTTCCTCCCATTTCCGGCGGAAGTGCAGGTTAGCTAGGTCACCTAGAGAAAGAGAGAGGAAGGGGGGGAGGGG